AGAATTTTTTATTAGAGGTAGAAAGGCTTTTTGGTTGAGTTATGCTAGTTTGAAAAGTTTCGCATCTAGTATGCAAATTTGAACCTAACATACAGACGTCGGTTTTATAAAATTTTTAGTACGCTTTTAGGGTTATTTATAGTAAAAATTAATACCATTACAAACGCGTTTTACTTTATCTGGCTAGCTCGTCGACAGAAAACCTAATCGCAGCGAAAGGATCATCCTGACCCGACTCAGAATTAGTACAAAGCCGGCATTCCGGCATGCACAGGAGGGTTGCCCAATGTGAACCACTTAATTGAAGGGTGTCATTCCTCGGCTCAGTGTATAGAGCGAGTAGAAATTCCACACTGTATGAAAATTTACACCAGGGGGAATCTTAGAATCCTCTGTTTCTATTTTTGGGAGAAAGTGGGCTGTTTTTGAAAAAAAATGTATCGTTAAAAAGTTTATTGATTGGATGTATTTTGTGTCAGCTGTTTTTCCATACAGTATTATTATGTTTAATTTGTTGAATGCCGATGAATATTGAATCTCCAGATCGACCCTCATTAGACCAGTAATATACGTAATTTTTTATAATTTAAGTTTGATAAGTTGCAATTTAAAGGTGGGAGTGTATCGGTACAAAATTTGAGCGAATCGTATGGTAAATAGGGAAGAATTTTTTTTTTATAAATGAGTAAAAGTGTGATTGTTCTAGGCTAATTATTTATTTACTTTTAACGAGGATTTGCAACAGCTGAGGTTATATTGCTCGGATTGCCGATGTTTTTGAAAAAAAGCCCATTTGTAAATATGTCGGTTTTGAATCCATGGCCGTTGGATTCGAACCTGGGACCTTTACCTTACAGTTATGAGCGCCGTGTCAACCACGGCCACCGACGCCCCTGTGTCTAGGCTAAAACAACCTTCAAAAGAGCAAAACGCTGAAAATAAAAATAGTGAGATTTTCGGAAGCAAATTGAATTAAATTGAAAAGATAAAAACATCACTAGTAATATCCGATGAGCTCTTGATAAAAGCAATACTTTTTGAACCGAACCGGAGCGATGTCAAAAACCAATAATTACTTTAGTACATAAATTAACTAATATGTAACAGTAATGTATAAATTATATAATAAAATATGTCACAACAACCAAAAATGTCACGAGCTTTGGAGAGTTCTCTCAAAAGTTTCTTAATTCAAAATTTATATCCCAATTTCTCAATGGTAGCAAAAGTTAAGGTAATTTTATTCCTTGTCTGTAATTTTAATAATTAAACACTTCAGTTGATAGTTTCTTTATATCTTGAGTATATCAAAATATATAAATATTCAAAAAATTGGAAATATAAAAGGAGAATCGTACCTTATGAAAATATTTACAGTTCTGGTGACACGTCGCAAATAAAAACATTTTCGATTAAAAAGAACGCAATAAGGGAGTGATAACACGGGAAAATATAAACTTAGAATATCTTTTTTTATTTCTGAGAAAAAGCAACACAAAAATTGTCATTTATTGTCATTTTGATCATTATATTAACACGTGTCAGAACCCCCTATTATAAAGTTAAGAAAAATAGCGATGCAAAATTGAAATTTTGCTTTTTTTAAATTAAAAACTATATGTTTACAAATAGTCGTAATAGCACTAGTCAGTTTTTTAAATTAAGTATTAACATTTTAAATTCAAAATGATTTAGATTTGTTCACTTTTAATTAAACGGTCAAAATGCAAAACGTGTAGCACCAATTTCATACTGTTTGTTTTATGCAAACAAAAATGAGTACGAAATAAAATGTTGAATTAAAATAATGAATAATAACGAAAAATACATTGTTAATTAATAAATAGGTAAATAAAAAATGTATTAGTTCGTTATGACAAACTTATGAATAATAATAATAATAATAATAATGATAATATAAGAAGGCCGACAAAAACGTGAGTTTACTGCTGGCCCTCTGCGTGTTTTTACTTACTTTTCTGATCTTTTAGCCGTCTTTTCTTAATTAGTCGTGTGAGCGTTTTAATGATGTGTTTCTGACTCTCTGCTTTTTATGATTAATAGGTCGATATCCTAAAATGCCAGGCTCTCATTCGTATTTTAGGTTGTCAACTACAGAAAAGCCACTAGATGTACAATACATATACATACATCACGAGGTTATAAAAGATAGACGTATGGCCACATTCACTCCCGCAGAGTACGCGATATTCCTCGGGTGTGGCACGACAATCTCACGAATAATTTACTTTTACACTCCAGACATCACACATTCACCCGAGATTACTCAATATTCCTCAGGGTGAGGCTGTACTAACTCCATTCTCGCTAATAACTTACTTTTACTCTCCAGACAACACACAATCACCCCAGAGAACTTGAAATTCTTCGAGGACGGAGTGCACCCATTTCATTTTCGCTAATAAATTACTTTTGCTCTCCAGATGTCACACATTCACCCCTGATTACTCAATATTCCTCAGTGTGAGGTTGTACTCACTCCATTCTCGCTAATAACTTACGTTTACTCTCCAGACATCACACATTCACCCCAGAGTACTTGAAATTCTTCGAGGCCGGGTTGCACCAATTTCAATCTCGTTTATAACTTACTTTTTCTCTCCAGGCATCACACATTCACCCGAGATTACTCAATATTCCTCAGTGTGAGGTTGTACTTACTCCATTCTCGCTAATAACTTACATTTACTCTCCAGTCATCACACATTCACCCCAGAGTATTTGAAATTCCTCGTGGCCGGGTTGCACCCATTTCATTCTTGCTGATAACTTACTTTTTCTCTCCAGACATCACACATTCACCCCAGAGAACGTGAAATTCTTCGGGGCCGGGTTGCACCCATTTCAATCTCGTTTATAACTTACTTTTTCTCTCCAGATGTCACACATTCACCCCTGATTTCTCAATATTCCTCAGAGCGAGGCTATACTCACTCCATTCTCACTAATAACTTACTTTTACTCTCCAGACAACACACATTCACCCCAGAGTACTTGAAATTCCTCGTGGCCGGGTTGAACCCATTTCCATTTCGTTTATAACTTACTTTTTCTCTCCAGACATCACACATTCACCTCAGAGTACTTGAAATTCCTCGAGGCCGGATTGCACCCATTTCATTCTCGCTAATAAATTCTTTTACTCTCCAGACGTCACACGCTCACCCCAGAGTACTCGATATTCTTCGGAGCCGGTTTAAACAACCCCTTCCATTCACATTACATAAGTTCAAAAGAGAAACAACACATATATGAATATGTACATTTAAACAATTCCCATAATTGCGGGACAGTACGCTCTCTTCTGTGCCCCAAGAATACTCACAGGTTCGATGGTATGCCAAAATATTTCTATATACCTCTATCATTTTATAATAAAAAAAATTATTTTATTTTTGCATAGCCTACGCGTTCGACTTTTTTCTTAACCTATTCCGTGAATGTGGAGGAACCTATTTCAATCATTCAAACCAAACGTGGGTTTTATCTTTTGGTTGTGTGATCGATAATTATCCATTTATGGGTCCATTTATCGTTGTCTATTAAATTAATTTATGTCTCTCTAAGCACCAAATCTCTTTATCAATAGTTTTGTTAAATTTGACTTTGTTATTTGGACACAAAATATTTGTGTGAATGATATTCTTTGGAGGCTTTATTTACCTTCAAACGTATTGTTTTATTTCAAATTACAATTAACTTCCCGTCAATAGGGTTTCTGCCGGCTTTTTGAAAAAAAAGTCACAATATTATGCCAAATTATTCTATTGTTCTAAAACATTAGTCACAGAGCATTCTTTTTCTACCAACGGGTATATTGTATTTATAGGGATGAATGCTCCCACCGTCTTTTTGTTATTGTTTGTATTTTTCGACTGGATTTTTTGTCAATTGCATGATATGATATTTTTTAAAATGGTAGAACAAAATTTGAAATATGTGTTTTTATCTTCTTACCTTGTTGATAAGACTTTTTTAAAAATTGTGAATTTTAATCTAATGAGCCGTTTTGTAGGAAACTCCGCGACCGTTCATTCAACAGACAGTTTAGTATCATTTGAGTACTAACAATTCGTAATTGCTCCACTCTTGTTTTTAATTTTGTACATATTTCCTTTCTAACACACACTACCTATTTGAAAGTAGTTATGTAGTGCCAATTTGCAAATTAAAAAAAATTCCGACAATTGTCATAAAGTTCTGTGGATAAAACCCAGAAAAGTTATTATTTTAAATGGAAAACTGTACAAATAATTGCCCCAGAGAAAAAAAAATTATTTGCTGTAATATTTAGCATTTAACGGTTTTACAGGGTGCTTACAAAAAATCTGAATGATTTGCTAGAATTCAAATATTTTACTAGAAGTCTCTTATGCTTTTGTAACTTTTTACAAGCTTAATCTCGTTTAATGATGTAAAGTTAATTTAATTAATTCTGCATTTATTGTCTTTTTCTATTCAACTGATAGATAACAATAGCCAAAGTGAGTAATAATAATAATAGCATTAAAAGATTTATGCACAGCCAATTAAAAATTTAGTTGAAATATTTTTCTCTCGGCTCCTAGGGGGTCACTGAATTCTTCTTAATTAGTATCCCCAACAAAAGTTTTATTAAAAGGCAGTCCTACTTCCGTAGCCTCCCTTTGTTAGTGGTTAATGTTTCATAGGATAAAACCTCCCTATTTCTAAATAGCACATATCAGTGTAACATCCTTGTATTTTTCACTGTTACGTAGCATGAAATAAAAATTATGTGGCAGGCGGAATGTGAAGGGCGTCGAGGCTATTCCAGATCATTAAGTCGCCTCAGGCGGTGACCGCCACCCTTTCTCCGACCACGAAGTTCATCCAACCCTGTGGAAATCTTGTCAACTAATAGACGTCCCTGCTATATCCGAAACCCGTTAAAACCGCATTCGGACACTTATAGGGCGGGGGTTAAACCTCTCGGAAAACTTGCGGTAAACTTTACTCACTTGAACTTGTATCGTCGTGCTTTCGAATGAGTTGTAGAGCATCGGCAGCACTTCCGTCCTGATCTCGGACCTCGGCGTCTTTTCTAAAATGTGATGCAGGTTCTCGAGAAGTGTGACCGTCGCCTGAATCGTTTTTGGTATGCCGAAAACATTTCTGGAAAAATACATCACTTGATTATTAAAATTGATCTTTTCTCTTATTATTTTGCTTAACCAATATCTAAATTTGTAAAAGTAACGGCTTATAAATGGATATTTTTTAAAAATAATTATTGTTCCATTTTCACACAGAAGAAAACAAAGATCAATATTTCATACTTTCCATATTCACTTATTTCTATAAACTCATATTGATTTATTACGAGTTTACTGTTGATAAAGGTATATACCAAAATGAAATGAAACACAAATACATTAAAAAATGTTAACACTATTTCATAACATAATAGAATATAAACATAACACAAGCAATAGCAAACAAGAAAAGTTTCATGCCATAAATAAATCCTCGAAAAATAATTTCACAGTGATAAAAATGTCCTTAGAAAATATATTATTATATAACACATCATACTGTATATTCCGTGCGCTAAGAAATGAAATTGAAAATAGCTACCTACATTGGATCCGAGATATGTTTTGGTTATAAAAAGAAAAAGAGGTTGTAAAATAAATAACCTCATCACACATTAATTTTTTTTAAAATTAATTCCTAATTTTGTTTTTTTACGATTGTATTCTCTATTTTTTTCGAGGTCATATCAACCCTTGGGGTACCGATGTTTTTGAAAAACATCCCATTTGTAAGTATGTAGGGTTCGAATGCAGGGCCGCTGGATTACACGTTACAATGATGATCGCCGTGTCAACGCGTTGCGGCCGCCGACGCCCCTGTATTCTCTGTTATATTTTTCTTATTATTTAATTAAGGTTTTTAGTTGAGATAAAAAAGTCAATGGTACGAGCGGGATTCGAACCCACGATCTTCGGCTAGATACGCGGCTGCTCTACCACCTGAGCTATCGTGACCTCGATCCACTCATACACTAACTTCGCCTATCAACCCCCACCTTTTGGATTTTCCCACCTTTTTGCCATTTTTCATTGACTTTTTTATCTCAACTAAAATCCTTAATTAATTGGAATATATTAATTGTTCAAGCGGACCACGAAATTACTTAATTTAACGATTTAAATTGAAGTATACTTCACAAAAGCTCTCCGTGGCCATTTCATTTGTCGTCGAGAATCCAATCCGATTACACGACATTTTAAAAATGGCAAAAAGGAGAGAAAATTCAAAAGGTGGGGTTGAGATGGTAAGTCGGGGTCCGAGTGGATCGAGGTCGCAATAGCTCAAGTGGTAGAGCAGCGGCGTATCTAGCCGAAGATCGTGGGTTCGAATCCCGCTCCTGCCATTGACTTTTTTATCTCAACTAAAAACCTTAATTAATTGTAATATATTAATTGGTCAAACGGACCACGAAATTAGTGAATTTCTTATTTATATTGAAGTTTTGTGATCACATTTTCGTTTTGTGTCTACGTGAATAACATTTCAGAAACGAAATAGTTTCTGCTGTAAAAACTATTTTCTTGCTGTGCCATATAATTTGCATGATATTGTATCTATGGTTCTATTCACACTGCCGTTTTTTAGAATATAAATTATAAATGCTGGAGTGAAGATGTTGTTTAAACTTTTTGGAAAGTTAGTTACTCCTCGCAGTTTGAAATGAACCATTTATCATTTCTATTATATACTAGTCAAAGCATTAATGGATTATGTAACAACATTACTACCTCCACTTATTTAAAATCAGCCAGTAAACAAGAACTTTTAAAACTTTTTACAAACTAAGTCTTTCACGCTTCAAAATCAACAAATCAATCTGGTTCATTTCTCAATCTTTGAAATTTAACCTAACCCTAAAATTCGTTCATTCTAAATTAAATATAAAAAAATGTGTGGTGGTCAACTGGCCTCTCAACACTCAAGAATGACACAATTACACAGAAGACAAACACTTTGAGCCCTGAAGATGATCTCAATAAAGATCGAAACTTTGGCACGATAAAGAAAATGTTTTTCTGAAACCTACATCACACCAGACCGCATCTCACGATTTCCGAAAAAAAATGTTCAACTCTCTTACAGAATAAATGCCATAAAACCATATTAAATAATGACATAAATGTGGACGTCGGTGGCCGCAACGGTTTCGGTGTTGACACGGCGCTCTTCACTGTAAGGTGAAGGTCCCCGGTTCGAATACAACCCCGACATACTCACAAATGTGCTTTTTTTTCAAAAATATCGGCACCCTGAAGGTTTATATGACCTCTGCTGTTGCGAACCCTCGTCAAAAAATTATAATAACAATTACATAAATTGTACAGTAAAAAAAGTTTTTACCAATATTTTGTTCACATTAGGCTTGTCTCGTTATTGTCGAAAATAGAATGGGACAAATTCGAATATGATACGCGATCAAAAGTTTTCGTGATAAAAAATAAAGTATCTTGGATGAAAAAATTTAAAAAAATTATGTACGGTACACATAAAATTAAAAGCATTTATAAAGACCAAGCCACTCCAATTAAATTTTGCCAAATTATAATAAACCTAACAAACATGGTACTAGATAAAGAAGAAAACGATTGATTAAATAAAGGCTTAAAATTTGTCCCAAGGACAGAATAAAGTAATAAAAAAACTACCTTCACGTGGTTCATCAATAGATTATAGTAAAGTAAATAGAGTTATAAAATATAAATGTGCTGATGTAATTAAACAAAATTTGGTATATCTAAACGTCAAAAAATTAAATATCCCACTTTTAATTATTTCTATTGATAAAAAGGTAACAAGTAATAACGAGGTTATTTTAAAATAGGAATAGTATAGTTATCATTGAACATCAATAATAAATTCACTAATTTTGTGGTCCGCTTGACCAATTAATATATTACAATTAATTAAGGTTTTTAGTTTAGATAAAAATGGCAAAAAGGAGGGAAAATTCAAAAGGTGGGGTTGAGATGGCAAGTTGGTGTCCAAGTGGATCGAGGTCACGATAGCTCCAGTGGTAGAGCAGCGGCGTATCTAGCCGAAGATCGTGGGTTCGAATCCCGCTCGTGATTTTTTTTATCTCAACTAAAAAAAACCTTAATTAATTGAAATATATTAATCGGTCATGCGGACCACGAAAACTAGTGAACGCAGGACCTTCGGCTAAATACGCCGCTGCTCTACCACTTGGGCTATCGTGACTTCAAATCCCGCTCATGACACTGAATTTTTTATTTCAACCAATACCTTACAAAAAGATTAATTAATTGAAAGATGTCATTTGGTCAATCGACTACGAAATTAGTGAATTTAATGAATTAAAATGAAGTACACTTCACTAAAGCGCTCCGTGGCCATTCCATTTGTCGCCAAGAATGGAATCCGATTACACTTTTGAAAAATGGCAAAAAGGAGGGATAATTCAAACGGTCGGGTTGAGATGGGAAGTTAGTGTCCGAATGGATCGAGGTCACGATAGCTCAAGTGGTAGAGCAGCTGCGTATCTAGCCGAAGATCGTGGGTTCGAATCCCGCTCGTGCCATTGACTTTTTATCTCAACTAAAAACCTTAAATAATTGTAATCAAAAATAAAAGTTTCTAAAGTTAAAGAATTTCAAAATAATAAAGATTGTTAAAAGATAAAAAAAAGACCCAATCTTAGAATTAAAAATATCATTCAAACAGCCATACAAAAGTGACGTTTTCTTCTCAAATGACCAATAAATAGTTACAAAATTAACACCAATGAACCTGGAATCTCCCATTGTTATACGGTAGGATCAACATAAGGAAAACAAACCTATAAGTCCAGGATTTATAATTCTCCATGCCAAAACCTAGCGAGTGTCAAAAACATTAATGCTCGCACAATTTTCAAACCTGCATTCGTTTATTAATATTTTTTTTAGAGTTGATAAAACAGTTAAAGACCATAAATCTAACTGCTATAGTTTTTAACTTTTTCAGGTACTTATAAATGTAATGGCAGTGATGCAGTTTATGTAATTATAATTGACTTTGTGTCTACTGGAATTGGTAAATCCTTCTACATACTAACGAAGTGTACACAATTCAAGGGAAGTGAATATCTTTGATGTGATTATTGATTACAACCATCTGACGTTCCGGTGTTTCATGTCTGCAAGGTTCAATTAAAAATTTAACACGAGATGATTTGCATTAATATACTGTTCCTCGCATTCGATTAATAGTCAAGTCAGAACCACTAAACCTGAATGATCAACAAGTTGATTATGAGATCACTGAATTATGCAGGGAACTCGTCATGTGAATATTTTTTCACCTCTAAAGATGAGTGGAATGCTGAAAATTTCTTGTTTTTATCTCAATCCGTACGTGTTTAACTTAAATAACTCGTATAGTTATAAGTGTAAAATTAGTCGTGTAATTATGTAAATCTATAATTACCGGGGTAAAACATTGAGATGGCATTTTGCACAATATTTCAACAAAAAATCTAAAATATGTTAAACAACTTAAATAATCTTGAGTAAAAATTCTAATTCAATCATTATCTTGAGAAAAATTAATTAGACTTGGACTAACAAAGTTGATGGACCCTTTTAGCTTAGTAGTAAAGAATTCAGTAATGTCTGTCAGCACGGCAGCATAAAACAAGTTCCTGGAATTATGCTTTGTAACAGTTAATGGTCAGTAGTTCTTTGAAGTTTCCGGGCATAAGATATTGTAATAATATGAACTTTATAAAATGTAAACTTTCGTATTTTGTTTCTAAAGTTAACTTTATGTAATATAGCATATTTATTAATTATTCTAAAACGTCGTTAATCTTGCAATAAAATTTCTATTAATATTTATCTAGTTGTGATTTATGTTTTACTAAAGTAGTATATCCGATTTTGAAAGTTGAATCTGAGTAAGGTTACGATTAGATAATTATTTGGAAATCGTGAGATGCGGTCTGGTGTGATGTAGGTTTCCCAAAAACATTTTCTTTATCGTCCCAACGTTTCGATCTTTATTGAGATCATCTTCAGAGCCTGGGATTTACAAACATTGTTTAAATTTAACAAATACATGTAGGATGTGGAAAACAATTT